ATTAATTTTTTAATAATTTATATCGTATGCTAACACCGTTATTTATTTCCAGTGCTTACTGCTGAGTAGAGACGGTGAATACTTGATGACTGGAGGTGACAAGGGTATCGTAGAAGTTTGGCGAACTTTCAACCTCGCTCTACTTTATGCATTTCCCGCATGCGAAAGCAGCGTGCGTTCTCTCGCGCTTGCTCATGATCAAAAGTAAGTAATGAAATCTGAAGATCTACATGAATTTGTTGTTAAAACTTTCTTAGTCTTTAGCGCGACGATGCAATTGGTCGTATAATTTCACGAGAATTCATTTAAAAAAAAATTATCTCTTTTGACACGAGGAGGATAAATATGTTCCGTTCTTTACAGGTTTCTTCTAGCTGGTCTGGCAAATGGGTCCATTGTGATATTCCACATCGACTTTAACAGATGGCATCACGAGTTCCAGCAGCGTTACTGAAATTACGACTTCCTGTTTGCCTAAGAAGGCACGGCGCATCCCCATAGAATAAACTTCTGCGCTTAACTTTCCAAGTAGCACCGACAACTTCGAATTTACACCGTATTTCTCGGACAGACGACGCTTCGTCTGTTACCGACTTCCCTCGGATCGCTCAACCGAGTGTGCCGAATGAAACGGGGAAGAAAACCCATATACTATTTACGCGACATTTGTACGGGCCAGCTTCTCGTCAGACTATCTCCTTAGATTCGTCGCAATTTATGGTACGCAAAAGTATACATTCTATCGATCGTTTTTTCAGATTTAGGTGCGATGGGCGGCTGTATGAAACGAATGTGGTGCACTGCGAATTTTTAAACGTTCAGCAATAAACTCGCTTTCGTGGCTGCGTGTGCAGTGCTTCCGTAAGTGGGAGGAGGAGGAGGAGGAGGAGGAGAGGAAGCGAAGGGAAGACAAGAGTCGGTGGCGTCGTCCCCGGAGAGCAATCGAGTTCTGGTGAGTGGGCGAGACGTACCTTATTACAAGTTCGATTCCGCTGGTGTTACAGCTCTCGGTGGACCGAGCTGTAGATTGCTGTCTTACTGCCCTCGCCCTTTATATCGCGAGACCTTTTCTCCTCTCTCCGAGGTAAAGCTGTGTCATTTCCCTCGTCATCCCTTCATCGTACCGACGTTCACTTTAAATTTTCCGTCTCTTTCCATTTCTTCTTTGACCGACTAATTTAAAGAAGGGTAAAACGGGGCCAGTGGAACGCGTTCGCGAGTCACCTCTCGCACCTCCGCGGCTGGACATTTGTCAACGAAATTTCATCTAATTTATTAATTTGAGAAAAGTATCGTTTTATTTTCGAAGTTATCGAAAAAAAGGCATATATTTATCAATTATCGCGGGCGCAAATTATTATTGTCTACTATAATCCGCTTCATTGGTGCTCCATTGTAAAATAACAGCCGTGGATGCGCCTGGATCGAATTTCCGGCGCGCAATTATATACAATAAAGAGATAGCCAAAATAACGCGGTGAAAATGCTCATTTTTCCGCGCTAATGATTATTATTAATAAGCATTGTCGAGAAGGAAATGCACAGCTGACCCTTTTGCGATATAAACGCCATATGAATAAAATTTCGTTACGCGAATATAAAGTAGAATAAATTTGTTGAGATGATAAATTGATGTATCGCTTTCGCACATAAATAATTTCGCATCTCTCATTTTCTCAGGGAAAAATATTTGCGAGCTTTCATTTTTCTCCAAAATATTGTAAGAAGCTTTCGAAAAGGAAAGAAAGAAATGACTCGCTGCTGTTACCAATAACGCCGCTCAAACAAACTTCACAGTCTCTATATACTATTTGCAATTCATCTGTTGATTTTGTCCAGCGTTTCATTGGATTTCGCTTTGCTACTAACATTTTCCGGTTTGCCTTTACATTTTATGGTAATCCCCGGGGGGACACGGAGCAAAAAATGCACCTTCAAATATTTGCTTTAAGGAAAGAGCTGTCAGAAAGAGCTAGTCAAGACAATGGTAGTGAGAAATTTATAGTTACGGCTCTGACATTCGTCTCGTTGAAGATTTTAGTATTCTAAATAATTTAGACTAGTTGATAATTAAATGTTTGCGAGAAGATACGTCGTCTGTTTATAATTTTTTAATTTTTTAATTAAACAGCGCGTGTGTCGCTGTGAGCATATTAATAATTATCATCGTACACGTTACATTAGAGAATTGTGCGGTTTTAATTTAACTTTCGGTATATATCTAAAAGTTTGTACATATTTTAAGAATCTCCCAGCCTCTGAAAATCTCTCCCTGACAATAATACGTAAATCCTGACGTTCGATAAATGGCGAGAGAGATATATTCACGACGAATGCGATTTATAAAGGAGCCCGAGCTTTAAATCAGGAAAAGTGAACGATCCATTTCGATGAGTATACTTCGGTCAATTTATCACGTTACAAAATTCCACGCAGTCCGCGTACTGCTCCGTGCACTACCTCGCGCCGTACCCACATGCGACTAAACTGCGAATCTGCGCTTGAAAGCTGGAAGTTATCTCAATCGATCGCGACATCGAATCGAACGCAACGAACCGAAACGGTGATTCCCCATTCGAACTTGTTTCGTAGCTTCGCGATCCACGCGCGTTGCAATACGATACGCGCTTCGAGTACGCGCATACGTGCACACACACACACATACACACGCAGACCGGAGTGCACTTCATGAAACTTATCACCAAAGTTCACAGAACCGGATACTTCGGTAACACGGGCTTCGGTGTGCTTAAATTCATTTTCGAACGCGAAGCATCGAGTTTCCACAATCCCCCCTGCCCCCCTCCCCCCCGCCCGCCGTTCTACCACTCATCCTGCGTGCGGCTCGCATTGTGCGCGCCGCGCCCTTTTTATTTTGTTTCACTCCTCCGTTCCTCGCTTGTCCCGAGCTCCCTTTTCGAAGATAAACGAGAACGAACGCGCCCCGCTTCGAGAACGCTCTCCATCGAGAAGTTTTATTTTTTTTTCACCCCTCCCCCCCCTCCCTCCGAGTTGATTAAAGGCCGCGCCGCGCCGCGCCGCGACCCGCGCGCGAGAGTTACAAAGTCGGATTCTATTACCCGTGTATGCGGTAAAACAATCTACGGCCGCGGCTCATTTGCAGCGAAATTGCGGTTCGCGACATCGTCAACGCGCATTTCGAATTAACGCACTCATTGCGGAAATATGCGCGTGGAAAAATGTAGTTCGGATTATTAAAAAAAAAAAATAAAAATAAAAATCTTTCTCTCTCTCTCATGCATAATACATCGTGTTACATGAAATTTCTGTTATATAAAAATGGAATGTTAAATCTTCTTGCTCTCGTTAACAGTGAAAAAAAAAAAAAACACAGAAGATTAATGATGTCGCTGTAATATTATATGAAAGTTTCTAAAGTCGCGGAGTCCATTACATTTCATCACGTTACTCATTCAGCGTTAATACTCTAATCCCAGGGTGAAGAGAAAGAGAGGGATGGGGGAGGAGGAGGAAAAGAGAGCAGGTAGCTATTTTGTTGCAATGTCACCAACTTAATCAAGGTGTTTTCGACCGCTTCAATTTCACCGTCGTGTTCCTCCGTGACTCATGCGATTTTGCCACTCTTGGTCGGTCCGGGGGGGGGGGGAGGAGGTTGAATAATGACTCCGGAAGGGCGAGATAGGGCGAAGGAACTTAAGTAGCTCGCGAGTGCGGACACTCTCTTCGGCTAGAGGGTCGATCCGGTTATTCGACAACACGTAAGTCGACTCCGCCTACGTCGGTGTTTCCACCGCGGGAGGACGCCGAAGGAGGAGAAAACTTTCCCCGGGAAAAACTCCGGGAGAGCGTTTCCCCGACAAACAAATCGGCCTCTTCATCGGCCGCTTGCCGCCCGGAGTCGCTGTCACTTGCTGCTCGATACTCGATCGATGTCGAACCGGGACTGTATTTCGGAGAGAGAGAGAGAGAGAGAGACGCTCGGAGGTCTCGGGGTCTCTCGCAAGCTGGAAAGAGCTGTTTTTCCCGCGGGGATAACTTTCGCGAAAAAAAAAAAGAAGGACTCTTTTTTAGCCCTTCCTGAACGGAGCCGTCCTCTTCATTCAACGACTGGAAAGTGGAGTGTATAGTACCTCTCTCGCGCACACACATAGACACATACACACAACCGACGCGAAGGGGGGAGGATAATGATGGCTCTCAGACCGACAGACATCTGCCCGCTATTTTCAGATAAAACCGTTGGAGTCGCGCACACGATCATCCGAGAAATATCGATAACACGCTGCGGGCATATTAATATCGGACCCGGGAATCTTGCGAGGAGCATCAAACAAGTATCAACCTCTATCGGATAAATGTTTGGAGCATTCGGAATCGTTGCGCGCGCGCTCTCGCGCGATTAAACCACTCGATGCGACCAGTAAGTAATTGCGCATTCGATATCTCTTTTTTTACGTGTGCAGCGCGACACGAATATAGGAGCGATCGTGAACGGGATCTATGAATAACAGACGAAGGATCATGCCGCACGTATAACGCGTTATATATTCACCAGCGCTAGATAAAACTCGCAAGCAAACGGCCATATGTAGCATTAAATGTCAAATGTGAATGCGATCCCATTTAGCACGCTAATTGTGAAGTACGAATATGGGCCACATTTTTCTCGATACAACTCTTTTATTCGACATGCTGTGTATTCGATATGTAGTTATTATATCTATCAGGAATCCTAAATTTACAACTTTAACGTTTTTTACGGAAATTTTTACGCTCATTGCGAAGATCGGTATATTTCGCACCGATTGTACATTTTGATATTTAATTCTCGACATTTAATTGGTGTTTTTATTTTATGAACGCGAGTAATTCGTAAGATAAAAGATCGCTACAAATATCGGACGGTTCGTAACTGCATCGTCACTTTGCTCCGACTTACTCGAGACTAATCAAGGTCCGCATAATTATTCGAATGTAATTCCGGAAGTTTATACGAGCGTTTAAAACTGCATCGCCTCTGCCAAGAGTTCCTGCTCGAAGGGTTCTCGATTACCGCCCGTCTCTCCCGGTAAGATCGTAAAACGTATTCTCGGCGTTTACGGTGCCACTTGGACAAGCGTCGGTTGTCTGCCGATGGGTCCCTTCCAAAGAAAGTACGATCTCTCTAATCTACGAACGAGGTAACTTCGCCTTTCGCCCTCCGGCTACACCCTGCCAACCTCTTTCTTATACGCGTACCGCCCGAGCGTCATTTGTAACTTCCAACCCTTCCGAACATTAGCGCTGGAACGTTCCGAAGGGTCGTTCTAAGCCTCAACCACGTTCAAATACATGAAGATGACCAAAATATTCTGCGGTATTGAGAACAGTCACTTGCACGGATTTAGATTTCACAATCAGTGAAAAGAATATTTTCATTATTGAGAATGTATTTCATTAATTTTATTATTCGATAATATCGATAGTATCTTATTTAATAGAATGTAATTATAACGTAATTAATAATTTAATATGTGAGTTTTCTGATACAAGCTACCTCTTGCA